AAACCTTGAAAAACTTTTTTTTTTTTTTTTTTTTAAATTGAATTATTGTAACATACCCCTTCCACAAATTAGAAACTTTTTGTAATCTTTCAGTTATACCATGTATATGGATCAGTCTTGTTTTCACATGTTGTTCCCCTACTTGTGGGAATACTTTAGAAAAGCAACAGATAACACTTTAAAACTAGGAAATGTTTTCCTGGGGGGTGGATTTAAGTGGCAGTTGCAGTATCCAAGTTAGGCTAGAATTATATTGTCATCTTGAAGGTTTTGTAACTTGCTGCCTAGGGAAAAAGTGGAAATGCATGGAGAGACTCATTTCCTCTAAATTTTTAAGATAATTTAGCTACTTAGAGCAACTTCATGAAAACTTTAAATTATTTCACCCGAATGATGCGCCTTTGATTATTATCCTTAAAGGACTGGTCAGTATGTTTCTTTTATGAGGCTTTTACAAAAGGTATTTTATGATACTTCTTTCATGAAGATATCAAACCCATTGTTCCCTTACTTGAAGGTAGTCTGATAATCAGGGATCCTGGCTTCTCCAATTTAAAAGAAGGTCCCCAATTTTTGGGTTAGAAAAAGCAACATTTTGCCATGATCAAACTGAAACACTGGGGTGGGTGTGGATGGGTGTGTGCGTTTCGGTTTGATCATGGAAAGAAGTGGATTTTGGGTTTTGTTTTAAAGTAACAGAAAACGAGGATCCCTGCTGATAACTTCATATTTCAAATTGGCATGCCAACTCCACCTACAAAGCTTCCCACCAATTCACTGTTGCCTTTGGGAATTGTTGGCCAAATGAACTCATGTGTATCTTAAAAGGTGTTGGCCAATTTCAGCTCCTGCACTGCTTTTCCTGATGAATATTAGGAAAGACTCTTGCAAATCTTCCTTATTCTCCTTAATCCCACAGCATTTTAGATCAAACTGAATTTACCCTTCATTTTATTTCTAATTTTAAAAATCAGCAAAAAAAGACAGTAGTTGGGCAGAAAGTGTATTATTTGCACAATCAGGAGAGGGCTCTAATGGTTGGTCAGCTCTGGATGTTTCAACGCAACCAGAAAGACAGTGACCAATGGAATTAAGTTACTGACACCCAAGGTTTCCAATGCAAAGAGCAAGAAAGATTCCCTGCACCAAAATCTGCAACTAATCTTGCTGCAGCCAAAATCCACAATTTTGAGCATTCCAAGACTGGCAGGCAGCAAAAGATTTTTTACACAGACTTACAGTTGGACTCAGTTGTCACATCCAAGTTAAATTTTCCAAGTTCTTTTTTTTCCTCTTCTCTAAATAAGAAGAGCCAGACAAGGGTAGGACAACTTCAAAAAGTATAGATGAAGTCTAAGTTTACATGGTCTCAAGTCTTTAGTTACAACCAGTTTAATGCATCTCTGTCAAAGACAAAAGATCTTTAACACTTTTCTTTAAATGTAAAACAGCCAACAAGATAATTCTTACCTTAACTCTTTACCTAATGATTTACTTATTAATGTCACTTTATACTAGCAAATGGTGCTGTCATTCAACAGCCAGAATATCAGCTACTTATCCCCCTGTCCTGCAAATAACCATTCAGCTAAATTTTTAAAACAAGAAAGCAGCATACAGAGTACAGTATGTAGGGTACAGACCACTCTTAAAAATCAGGGGTAGTTCAAAGAGTTACCAAAAGATTGGGGAGACTTTAGTATTAGAGGTCCAGAAACACTATTAGTCAGAAGCAGAATTAGGTTGACCAATTGTCACACTTTTCTAGTTTCACCACTGTTTAACAGGGAGGGAATAAGATGATAAAGTTGTGCGGCAAAGATTAGCAAATAGTCTAAAGAAGAAAGACAGCATGTATTGCCTTTGCAAATATAGGAAGTGGGTGTAGATTAGTGTGAAATACCAGAAAAATATTACATACTCTAAAGAATCTATCAGTTTCTTGGGGTCAACTGGAGGTGGATAGACGATCTCTTCAATATGCTTTTGATTGCAATATGCATATGCAGTTGAAAAATGCATGAATACTTCTAGTTTCTTCATTCGTTGAGCCAGGTGGATGAGCTGTTGTGTTCCAATCACATTTAATTTAACAGAATCTCTGTCAGGGAAAAAAGAAAGAGATAAAAACACTAGATGAGCAACAGTGAGCCTGCCAGAACAGTAAGCTGATGTGAGGAGTTCAGTTTGGACACATTCATAGCTCCGCCAAGAACGAATTACAGCAACATTTTCCAACAGCTTGTCCTATTTTTAGATGTCCCAAGCTTCCACAACTTTCCTTGGAAAAGTACTCCACAGTCTATCTGGAAACAGGTCAATACTCAGCTCAACTCCTCCATAACTTTATTCCATTTGTATAAAAATGTAGGAATAGAAATAGACTAGTTACCATGTAATTTTATCCTTATAAATCACACCAAAGTAGTCAAATATATATTTTACAGATCACCTTGTGCTCTTTTTCCTGTGTGACCTCAAAGTATCTGATGTAACATTTTAGCCAGAGATTACCTAGAGGCCTTCCCACTTCAGGTGGTCAGCCCAAGCCACACAAGAGATCAGTTCTTATCAATACATTGATAAGCTCTAAAAACAGAAACTGGATTTAGGTGGCAGTTGTTTGTTGACATTATGCTACTTAAGAGAGCTTAAAAAAGTCTGAAGGAGCAAGGAAAAAAAAATCTTTACAGCAGAAAAAGCTGAATGCATGAACAGTAGCTTCTAATGTGAAAACTGGAGAATAAAAAAAGTCATCTTGGGATTTGGGTACATATGACAACTACGATCTGAAACTTTCAACTACTGTTGCCCTTACAACAGCTTCAGGAGCTTCAAGTAACCAAAGAAAGGACCAAAAGGTCAAGTGTATCCAAAACAATCTGCACCAAAAATATCAAACTTTTGTACATGCAAGAAAAAAAAAAAAAATACAAGGTGAAGACTGCAAAGGGGCCCTAATTACAGACCGACCCTGCAAACAAGATTAGTGCAAAGTGATGGAGGGGAAGGAGAGGGAAAACAGGCTGATCAAAATATGTAGTTTCTCTGTAAGAGAGTTAGTTGTTTTAGTCTCATTGTCTTTACCACTCACGGTGTATTCATTTCTTCTCTCTTTTTTCTTATCTACTTTTCCCTCTGCAGGTTTCCTAATTCTACCTCACGTTACCTTAACCTAGATCCTACAACCTTTGTCAAAAAATTTCCAGTTCTTGCCATCTCCCTGGCCCTATTTTGCACAAACAGTGCATTCTTGCTACCCATGGGATCCTCACTTCCCTCCCCCCGCCTCAAAGTGAAAAGTCAGACCTGTGTACACCCTACTTGGTTCTTGAGTTGAGTAGTGGAGGTTGTTCACAATCGCTGAACACCAATTTCAACTGGTTCAGTCCATCCACATCCATCTCCACCACTAGCTTACCTTATACCAGAGCTCAGAGCAACAAGAGCACATGCATGAAGTTGGCAAAGCCTGGTTGAGCACTTCATCTCAGGAGAGGAAGATACTTTTGGCAAATCTTAATTGGGTCAAGTCTGTTTGGAGAGATTTTATACAAGTCTTTTTCTACCCTGACCTGAGGAAGGACACACTTCATGCTCAGAAGCTTGTCTGAAATGTCTCCAAAACTAGACAGTTGGTCCAATTAGAAGAAAAAAAAAAAAACCTATCCCTGCAGCTCCCCCAACAGCTTTGCTCCATCATCTTGGGCATATGCTGAGCCTCAGGGCAGAAAAACTTTCTTACAGATCTACCCCCAGGGCTGTCCCTGGGAGAGGGCAGAATCAAGTAACCACCCCGTGCTATAGGGCCTGCCCCCCCCATGGAGTTGGGTGGAGTGGCTGCAGAGACCCCGCACTGCTGCTGGCTTGACATCTGGCTGCTCAGCACCCTCCCCACAGCCACTGAATCCACTGCTGCTCAGCACCACCCTCAAATTCACTGCTGGCTTTCTTGCGTCCGGGGGCATGCAGGCCAATTTGCCCCAGGCCTCGCACACTGCTCTGGTCATCTCTATCTACCCCTAGCCTCTTCTACTGATCTTTGAGGTTTAGTGCTAAGTTTTGAAGAAGAAAGTAGTAGTAGATCAGGAAGTTAATGTGTAGATGCGACTGCTTTCAGATTCAGGCTGATTGATCTACACAGTAACCAGCCATCTTCTCTTCCTTCAGAGAAAAGGGCAGATTTGCTTCAGCTGCTGACAATTTTTTAAAAAAACACACCCCAACTTTAAAATAAGTATTTCAATGCTACACCTAGTCATAAGGACCTGATGACCAGCACAGAAAAGAAAGAAAAATAGTCCTCCCCTTCCCCCGCAGCTAAAATGTCTCAAACTATAAGAGTGAAACTTGCCATGAGTGCTTCAATAGAATTTTTTTGCTTGCAATATTTTATGGAAGAGTTAAAATGGTGCCCCTTTAAAGGCTAATGAAGCAATTCAATATAATTGCTTCAGTTTGAGACAAGGGTTTATACTCACCTTAATGTTTCATTGAATCTGACTGTAGCCGCACAATGGAATACAATATTAATGCAGTCTATGAGAGTTTCTTTATCCTGCTCGCTAAGGTCCAGTTCAGGCTGCGTAAGTTCACTAGTAACTGCTATTATTTTTGTTTTAAAGTCTGGTTGTTCTTCTCTCAACCTGTCAAAGAGCTGTCAAAGTAAAAATTACATTACTACATTAAAATAAGTTAATGAGACAAGCAGTTAGATTTCTAGTTCAGCATATGTAACAGACAGACAAGTCTCTTCTACTTATACAAAGCTGTGCCATGTTCATTGCTTGTTAAGTATATGCAGTGGTGTAATGAAGATAAAATAATCCTGTATTCAGGTAAATACACATAACAAGGTTCCCCCTGGCCTTCCCCTCCAAACTTTCCCCAAAGCGGGGGAGTGGGGAGGCCCTTGTCTTACAGACAAAACTCTTGGGGTAGAGGCAATATTTTTTGTTAGACCGTGTGAGGGAGTGAAGAAAGAATATGACCCAGCAGGGGCCCTGGCAGATCAGGAAACTGACTTACCCGAGGGCTCTGGCCCCACATGCCTGGATACTGCTGTGTGTCAATGCTTTTCTAAATGGTATTTCCTCCAGACTGAAGGAGGAAACCCAGCATTGGCTCTTTTGAGCTGGCACATTATGGGTGGGAACAGAGAAGATCGGAAGCAAGGAAGCTCCAGGGCAGCTGGGACCAGAAGCAGCCATCCCAGCAGAGCAGAGCGCTACCAACAACTGGGAGATAGAGATAGAACAGCTGACACCATACCAGTCACCTGTGAGCCAGCCCAGCCCAGCAGCAGCCAAAAAGGGCTGCAACACAAGCCTGAAGAGATTGGCTCTGTGACCAGGAGAAGGAGGAACAAGGGGGGAAACAATGGGGACAACCTGAAAACCTAGCTGAGTGAGTCCTGATTATTTTTTTTTTTCCTATTGCTGTGGGGGGTTTAAGTGCTGCTGGAAGTACAGCCTCGTCCTTTGAGCCTCTCGGGGAGAGAGTGCTAACAAGGGCACCCATGGTGTCCTTAATGGAGTTAAACCTAGATTTTTTGTTTGACTGCTCTTGTAACAAAAGTGCATCCTCAGTGATGCCTTTATTGGACTGTAACCTAGCCTTAAGGGACACTGGACTAAGCCTGTCCAATTTACCTGTCAATGAGGGCAGTGGGATAGACCAAAAGACAGGACATTGTATTTTGTGGTGGTCCTTGAATAGGAACAGAAGTGGACTAAGGACCTTAGGCTTGGACTATTGCAAATGCAAGTCCTGTGAGAAGGGATCAGACAGCCCTGCACAGACTCCAAGGAGAGACCTCTATATCTGAGTTAATAAACAGCATCAACATGGTGGCAAGGGCAAGGGGCATAGCAGAAAGAGAAGCCCCCAGAAAAAATCTGCTAGAGTATCCTGGGACTGTACCAATCTGTAGACTGCTCCTCCCCATTTCATTACACTCTTGCCTGCCATGACCTGATGAAGAAGTCTAAAAAAAAAGGCACTACAAATGAGGATATCCTGGGACTAACTTACAGATGGCACAGACAAGCAAGAAATGCAAGAGACATGGATCCCAGCCTTATCTGGCGAGTCCCTGACAGACCAACTAGATAGTTGCAAAAAAAATTGCAAGCTTTCGGGCCCAAATGCCCTTCATCAGGCAAAGCAGAATTCAAAGACTGTAAAATTTCTCCCAGGTACAAACAGAACTTCATATGAATATCAATACCCGGGAGAAATTTTACAGTCTTTGAATTCTCCTTCGCTTGACGAAGGGCGTTTGGGCCAGAAAGTTTGCAAATAAAAAAAATTTGCAACTATCTAGTTGGTCTAATAAGAGAATGAATGACTTCTACTCCAAGAGCTTTGTCTGCCCATGCCTCTGGATCAACATGCCCACCTAGCTGGACTCGTTTGAGTCCCATTTCTCTTTTTGGGGTTTTTGTTGTTCTCCCGCCCTGGCGGGGGGTCGGGCTAGAAGATCTACTAGGTCCCTTCCGACCCTTAATCTATGAATCTATGAATCTATGAAACATGTCTACAAACAAACAAAAAAACAAACATCTTCATCTTGCACTGGCATACAGGGCTGAAGGGGAGCAGACAGCCTCCTGCCCCCCACCCCTGCACTTTTGTTTTGACAAAAGTTCAGTTACACAAATAGCACCGATGGGGGGGGGGGGGGGGGGGGGGGAGTGAAAACAAACCCACAAACTCTAAAAATGCAGATCCCATAGTAGGATTATATGGAGGCATGAATAGCTAGTAACAAGTTTGTGGTGGAGATGGAGGTGGTTAGATCTCCACAGCATCAACTGTACTACTGAAATGCCAGCATAGCTTATTCCAGCAGCTCCAAAAATCAGAGTTCTACCCAAACAGAATGCCAGTTTTCTTTACCAAAAAGACAAGCAAACGACAGGTGGAGAGCATCACAACTACCTGTTACTGATTCCCCAACCTGAATGACCAGGTATTATATTTTCTATGAGCAAAAAGAAAAACACAAAACAAAAAAACAAAACAAAAAACCACTCATGAAGTTCAAAAAAGGGCAAGTGCAAAATCCTGCGCTTTGGAAGAAACAATCCCAGGGACTGGTACAGGCTGGAGACCAACTGGCTAAGCAGCAGCTCTGCAGAAAAGGACCTGGATATGAGACAACAGGGCTAACAGCATACTGGACTGCATTAATAGGAGCATTGCCAGCAGATCAAGGGAAGCGACTATTCTCCTCTATTCAGTACTGGTGAGGCCACACTTGGAGTACCGTGTTCAGTTTTGGGCCCTCCATTACAGAAAGGATGTGGATAAATTAGAAAGAGTCCAGTGGAGGGCAACAGAAGTGGCTATGGGGCTGGGGAACATGACTGATGTGGACAGGCTGAGGAAACTGGGGCTGAGTCTGGAGAAGAGAAGACTGAGGGATGGGGAGATTTAAACAGCAGCCTTCCCTGAAAGGTGATTCCAAAGAGGATGGAGCCGACTGCCATCTGCCACCACCAAGAACAGAACAAGGAGCAAGTTGCAGCAAGGAAAGTTTAGGTTAGATGTTAGGAAAAATTCAATAGGAGGATAGTAAAGCACTGGAACAGACTACCAGAGAGGTTGTGGAATCTCTATCCTTGGAGGTTTTCAAGATCCAGGAAGATAAAAGCCTCAAGTGGGATTATCTAGTTGGGGATGGTCCTAGATCACCTCCTGAGGTTCCTTCCAACCTTAATTTCCTATGTCACACCTGTGTGAACAAGGTAAAGCTTTTGGTGGAAAAATACAGCAGGGTTCAAATTCAAACCTATAAAGCTGTAACCAGAAGCTTTACCTCACAGAAGCAATTTTAACTGTATCCAAACCAAGGCCACATTTGGTTTAAGATTTAGCCAAGCCAGTTAGTTCAAGCAGTACAGACAAAGAAAATACTAGAGTGCAGTAGAGGAGGGATTCCGTTACTGGACTGTAGCCATAGAACAAATCACTACAGTGCATTTTCCTCTTGATCGAAGAATTCTGAATCTAAAGTCAAGACCTTTGATAAAAATGCACAATGAACAGTGGCTCTTCTATTTAAAGTTATAACCCTTACCATAATTTTAAATCTGATACAAATTTGATGGGGCTTTGCATTTTGCTGCAGAGGCCAGAAAGTCATTAGCAGAACTGAAGAGTTAGAACAACTTGTAACAAAAGGTTTACACCTTCCCACCATTTCTGAAGTGGCCGTATTACCATTTCCTAGCACCGTCTTTTAGAGATTTACCTTACAGCTGATCATTTCTTCCACTCGCTCTTGAGGATTCTGTTCTGCCTTGCGTCTCACTAATACATAAACAGCTTTTACTTTAGAACAAGACCGTAGCAGCTTCTCCAGAAGCACTTTTCCCAAGAAGCCAGTAGCTCCTGTGATGAGGACATTCTTTCCTTCATAGTATTCTGGGATGGATACCATTGTGACCTAAAGAGAGAGTTTAACATGCATTAGAAAAAAAAGTTTAACTATCATTCAGTAGCTTGCATGAAGTATAAACTGTAGATAGGAACACAGAACTAGTGGTTGAGCCAGAGTTCAAAGTTAAATTTTTCCTCTACTGATACAGGGCATCAGAGACAGACCAGTCCATCTCACAGGGGGCAGCAGAGACAGACCACACTGTGATACACACAGACACCTTGCAGTTTGTGGGGGGGGGGGGGGGGGGGGGAGGGGGGGAGAG